GTTAATGTCCGGTTGTAGATAACTTGAACCTTAATTAATTAAAATGAATCAACTGAGTGTGTTACCGTGATGGCCTCTTCTCGGTGGAGTCCGGGAAGTGGACACGGTGTTGGAGTTATGCTTGCGCAGGTTGTTCCTCTAGATTCTCGCTCGCGCATTGCCTCCTCTTCTCGCTCTCTTTTGCGTATAAGTTAGCCACCATATATGCTAGTCGCTTGCTGCAGCTCCACATATATTTTTGCCTTATCCTTCCTATAAGCTTAAATAGTCCTGATCGCGAGGGTGCGAGATTGCTGAGTCCCTGTGGCTCACAGATACTATAACTCCAGATGCAGGTCCAGGTGATTCCGCTCCAGGTGACGAGTACGAGCTCAAGTGGGAGTTTGACGAAGACTCTCAGCGATACTACGTGTCTTTTCCTGACGATCAGTAGTGGTGCCTAGTTGGGGTTTGATTCGGGGCCTTGTCGCATGTTGGGTTTTCTTCTATTTGGCGCCGTAGTCGGGCCTTGAGTGTTTGAATGATGTAATGTTATTTATGTACTTGATTGACGTGGCGAGTGTAAGCCAACTATGTTATCTCCCCTTTTATTATTACATTACATGGGATGTTTGTGAAGATTGCCTAACTTGCGACATATGCCTTCAATGCGATTATGCCTCTAAGTCGTGCCTCGACACGTGAGAGCTATAGTCGCATCGAGGGTGTTACAAGTTGGTAATCAGAGCCTTCCCCGACCTTAGGAGCCCCATTGCTTGATCTTTTTAGCGGCCGAGTTGTGTCTAGAAAAATGTTTTGAGTCTTTAGGAATTATATATTGGAGAGTTTAGGAATTCTTTTTACTTCCCAGTCTCCTCATCACTCTGGTAAGGCATCCTGACGTAGAGTTTTGACTCTTCTCTTCTCAAATTTCACTATAAAAAATTTAGGATCACGCGAGTATCTTGGAATCGTTCTGATGGCTTATGATAAGAATACTGTCTTGGTGCCTCCTGTCAGGGGTTTAGTGGAAGTGTCCCGGGGAGTTGAGCTCTGAGGTGTTGTCATCATAATTTTATCGTTGCAATTCTGGAATACTTGAGATATGTTCGCCGACATCGAAAATCTCTTTTATGCAGTTCGTTGGTGAGATAACCTCGACGCCACCCAGTACTGGGGCGGGAGTTCGGAAGTATCGCCATAACTTGTATAACGGATGCTTTTCGAAGGTTGAGGTAGATGGTTTCCGAAGGTTTCTTGGTTATGTGTTGAAGGATGGATACAGCTGGATGTAGGATTTGCTAGTTTGGGTGAGATATTATGCTTCCCCTGTATCCCCAACACCTGATTGCATAACCGGAAAGGTTCGGGAGTTTCATAGGTGGGAATTCTCGTAGCTCTAGTTCTTCTTCCACGGATATTGGTTTGAGATTGGGATTTCTTACCGATTATTCGTTCTTGATCCGTACCTTGTTGATTTATTTCTCTACCTTAATTCTACGTGGCTTCTCAATTTATGGATATGTGACCATTTCAAGAGGAATGTATTCGTTCATTTTGTTCGGATGTGAAGACTATATGTTGCAATTTTCATTCCATTGGATTCAGCTTCAATATTTATCTGTCAATGTGCTAATGGTGGTCAACCTCTTCAGGATGGCTCCTCCAACGCGCATGACTCTGAATCCTGATCCGCCACCGCCTCCACCTCCTCCAGAGGCATGGCAAGCTGTGATGGCCGCAACCAATTTCTCAAAGTCAAGTGGTCACACCATTCCGACCGTGAAGCTACGTGGGAACGCGAGGATCACCTCCGTTCTGAGTACCCGGAGCTCTTTCAGTCCTAGATCTCGGGACGACATCTTTTCGTAGTGGTGGAGTGTTGTAACGTCCCAGATATAACTTTCCCAATTTGTACTCCAACTCTTGTCGTTTCCGGCGTTAAGTTATATTTATTTCTCGGGTTTGGGTCTTTGTCTCCGTGTGTTGTTTTCTTTGTCATGCATCTCATATCATGTCATCATGTGCATTGTGTTGTTTGAGTTTGCACGTGGTTGATTGTATCTCTGTTGCTTGTTTGTCTTGTTTGGGTAGAGCCGGGAGACGAGTTCGCTACCGAGGAGCCCGTTGAGTTTGCTTGTGAGGATCCAGTCAAATCTGACAACTGTGTAGGCAAGATGATCGTACCCTCGAAATCACTACTATCTTTGCTATGCTAGTTTGCTCGCTCTTTGCTATGCCAATGCTACGATGCCTACCTTTTGCTTGTCAGCCTCCCAATTGCCATGTGAAACCTCTAACCCACCTTGACCTAGCAAACCGTTGATTGGCTATGTTACCGCTTTGCTCAACCCCTCTTATAACGTTGCTAGTTGCAGGTGGAGGTTGGAAGCGTTCCTTGTTGAAACATTTATTTACTCGTTGGGATATCATTATATTGCTATGTTATCTTAATGCCTCTATATACTTGGTAAAGGGTGGAAGGCTCGGCCTCTCGCCTAGTGTTTTGTTTCACTCTTGCCGCCTTAGTTTCCGTCATATCGGTGTTATGTTCCCGGATTTTGCGTTCCTTACGCGCTTGGGTTATAATGGGAACCCCTTGATATTTCGCCTTGATTAAAACTTTTCCAGCAATGCCCAACATTGGTCTTACCATTTGCCACCTAGCCCTTTTCTTTTCCTTGGGTTCTGCAGACTCATGGGTCATCTTATTTTACACCCCCCTCCGGGCCAGTGCTCCTCTGAGTGTTGGTCCCACCGAGCGATGTCCGGGGCTACCAGGGGCAACTCTGGGCTGGCCTACCCGATGTCTTGCTCATCTGAGTGTGCCCTGAGAAAGAGATATGTGCAGCTCCTATCGGGATTTGTCGGCACATTCGGGCGGTGTTGTTGGTCTTGTTTTAACCTGTCGAAGTGTCTTGAGTTACCGAGATACCGAGTCTGATCGGAACGTCTTGGGAGGAGGTCTATTCCTTCGTTGACCATGAGAGTTTGTCATGGGCTAAGTTGGGACTCTCCTGCAGGGATTGAACTTTCGAAAGCCGTGCCCACGGTTATGGGCAGATGGGAATTTGTTAATGTCCGGTTGTAGATAACTTGAACCTTAATTAATTAAAATGAATCAACTGAGTGTGTTACCGTGATGGCCTCTTCTCGGTGGAGTCCGGGAAGTGGACACGGTGTTGGAGTTATGCTTGCGCAGGTTGTTCCTCTAGATTCTTGCTCGCGCATTGCCTCCTCTTCTCGCTCTCTTTTGCGTATAAGTTAGCCACCATATATGCTAGTCGCTTGCTGCAGCTCCACATATATTTTTGCCTTATCCTTCCTATAAGCTTAAATAGTCCTGATCGCGAGGGTGCGAGATTGCTGAGTCCCTGTGGCTCACAGATACTATAACTCCAGATGCAGGTCCAGGTGATTCCGCTCCAGGTGACGAGTACGAGCTCAAGTGAGAGTTTGACGAAGACTCTCAGCGATACTACGTGTCTTTTCCTGACGATCAGTAGTGGTGCCTAGTTGGGGTTTGATTCGGGGCCTTGTCGCATGTTGGGTTTTCTTCTGTTTTGGCGCCGTAGTCGGGCCTTGAGTGTTTGAATGATGTAATGTTATTTATGTACTTGATTGACGTGGCGAGTGTAAGTCAACTATGTTATCTCCCCTTTTATTATTACATTACATGGGATGTTTGTGAAGATTGCCTAACTTGTGACATATGCCTTCAATGCGATTATGCCTCTAAGTCGTGCCTCGACACGTGGGAGCTATAGTCGCATCGAGGGTGTTACAGGCATGGTCTATGGTGTTTTCGTTGTCACGGTGTGGCTAGGGAGTGGGAAGCCATTCGACAGTGGTTGCGACTCTCCTAGTCCTTGAAGGTGTAGACTGATTGCAGGGCAAGCTGGCAACTTTTCTCGGTTTTCTTGGTATCGGATCTCCTTTCGACTGATGTTTTGTATTGCCTTTCATCTTTTAGAAAATGGAAATGGTTCAGGCCGACTTTTGTCCACCATGAAGCTACATGTAGCCGTTGTTTTGTATCGCCTTTCATCTTTTAGAAAATGAAAATGGTTTGGGCCGACTTTTGCCCACCATGGTGCCCGTAAAAGAATAATTAAATGATAGCATCAGATCGTCCACCCCACCATCGTGATTTGTTGTCAGTTTCGCGTAGGCTTCAGGGTCACGACTCACGAGAGAGCGTTGGCTTCCCTACCAGGCGACTTTTGCACATGCCCTAGCACGATTCGTTTTCTAAGTTTGCGCAACGCACACATTTTAAAAGAGTGCTAGGAAAAACTACCCGGCCTGCATTTTTCAATCCGGGCGACGCAAATATCTTGGCAGCGCAGCGGAAAGGCTCCCGATCGCCTCGTCGCCGAGCACTAGGGAGCACCGAAACACATGGGCGTCAGGCAGCAACAAGGAGGCGTGAGTGGGCACCGGTGACGGCGTGAAAAGTGACGACCCAAGCATCAGAAAACGGCTGAAAGATGTCCGAATGCCCTACAAAATTGCAGACCCAACGACCCGAAAATGCAACCTAGTGGTGGAGGCAGGCTAAAGCGCGCAGCCCTCCACAGAGGACAGTGCACTTGGTCGAGAGCTGTTTGGTTTAATACTGTATTTAGCATACCACTTTTTTTCTATCCAAAAGACAGGACAGAAATATCTTCCAGTTGGAGATGAAATGGTCGTCCAGTAGGCGAGCACTCAGGATCTGCGCCGCGTACCTAACACGGCGCAAATATCACAGCGGAACTGGAGGCCCGACGAGCCGGTGGTTGGTGACGGCATGTAAACGGGCGACTGTCAAGAGATTCCCACCCCGTGCACATAATCAAACAAGCATGCCACCGCCGTTTACAGAAGAGCATCCCCTGATTGTATAACACTTTGTACCATGTCAGCGCCTTACAAAACATATCAAAAACGAAGAGGAATGGAGCCAGAAGTGCCCTTTTTGCATCAAGGATTGTGCATGACACTCCAACTCCCAGGCTTCAGTTCCCTTACATGTTCATTTAGCTAGCTGGTGGCGGCACTTCCAAGGCGGCGTCTGGCAGTTTCTTCTTGAAGTTGAGCTGAGCTTGCTTCCTGGGCTTAGTAGGGTCTAAGACAAACCAGAGAGGTAATTTAGCTTCATGGGTAGTGCGAGGGTTCGAGTGGCCTAGACCGCAATGTAAACAAGTCCCAAGTACTAACCTGGTTTGGCTTGCTTGTTGGTGGAGATAACTGAAGACTTCCACTGATTGTACGCTTGTTTCTCCATCTTCTTGTGCCTTTTGTGGGTTGGTAGCTGAAATTGCAAGAATCAGGCAGCAGTCGCAAGCAGGACATAAACAACAAAATATCAAACTGCAAACTACATGACAAAAACCAGTGTCCATGTGTCTGGCAAACGAGATGCTATAACAATTACTAGCTGCAAGTCTATGTTCCCTCTTATATAGATGCATTTGATCTCACTTCATCAGTGCCTTCTGGTTAATCAAGTACTCCCTCCATTCCATAATTCTTGTCATGGTTTTGGTTCAAACTTGGAACGCAGTGAGTACCAAACTATTATGGCTTTATGTCATGAATTTCAGAAGTGGCAATCAGCATAATACTTGAAAGGTAAAGGGACATTAAGCAGGTTCATACATCTAGCTCATCATCATTGTCATCCCCAGATGATTCATCAGAATGATCGCTGTCATCCTCATGTTTCCTTTTGCTAGGCAAAACATCCAGCAGTTCTACATCAACAATTGCAAATTACAAGCTATTAGAAAAAATGGCAATCACTCAATCCACAAACTTTTAGCATATCATGTATGAAGAATGATTGCATCAATATTAGAGCATGCGCAGATACCTCTATTCCCTTTGATGGAGGTTGGATCCTTCTTCTCCTTGGCTATCCCAAAAACATCAAAACAAAGGTCTCCCATGGATGTTGAAACCTGCAACCAGCACAAATAACAGTCAAAACAGGATAATGTGTAGCACCAATCTAAACATTTTTGTGATGACAAACTTAGCAGACGCTAGCATATATGAGATGAGGGAATGGACAACTGTATGCAAAGATAAGACATTTCAGGTCCATTACCGTTGTAAATTCAGAGCTAGATGTACCACAAAGTTCAATTAGCTTCAGTTTGTCAACTTTGAGCTGCAGGGAAATTGAGGAAAGGTTTAGTGCTACAAGAAGCAAATCATTTATACGCCTCCAACTAGCATGCAAAGTGAACCATTTTTACTGATTCAGCTGTCACCTTATGCCTCTTCGCACATAAATAGAATGCTGCTGCAGTAAACACTGGGCGGCCAAAGTCCGTGCTTGAGCGTCGAGAAGGAGGCAATGCAGCCAGGAAACGTTCTTTGTACCTGAAACATACAATGTCACCATCAGTATATCATTCAAGGCTTCAGGCATCAAGGTCTTTGCATCCCAGGCCAATTGTACATCCAATCATCTACAGCAAGTTAGCCTTGCAGCACAACAGAACTAGCAAAGGGAGCAGACTTACAGCGCCAATCCCTTCTGCACAAAAGGTATCAACCTGACACAGCCGAACTGGATGCCCAATTCACGCACATCCAGTGTCGTCCTACAAGAAGAAATCGCTCAATTCAGTAAGGCTAGTCACTTGCGTGTGTCAATTAGCAGAACAGAAGTGCAAAGTGGCATACTTGACACCAAGCCCATTCTGCAGCGCATTGAATGATCTGATGAATGCCTTCTCGGACATCCCACTCATCCGCACCGCCTCCGACCGATCAAATATCACTTGAAACCTGGACAATCACAGACAAAGCAAACGGATCAATAATGCCTTTGACCAACCAAGAGAATGCTCGAAACGGGAAATTCGTCGAGCACTTGGAGAGCAAGCCAAACTCACTTGGTCGCGGCGATCTCGAGGCAGATGATGGCCTTGCACACCTCCCCCTGCGCGAAACCAGCGTCAGAGACACGCACACCGGAGAGATCGAGGGAGGGGAAGAAGCGAGTGAAGGGGCGGGTGCGGGATGCTTACGATGCCGAGGACGGAGGAGTCGAAGTTGATGTCGCAGAGGCGGCGGAGCTCGGCGGCCTTGCGCACGACGGGGCGGGACCCGGAGAGGCCGAGGCGGGCGGCGATCGCCGACATGTCCATGGCCGCCGGCGCCGGCGGTGGGTTGGTGGCTGGAATTGGCGCGAAGCGGGAGCGGGGGCGGGAGGGGAAGACGGTTTCGGCATTGGAGGGGGGAAATAGTGGCCGATCTGGTCGGTTTTCGGATTGTTTTGGCGGGGAAGGGAGATGACGCGCGCTGGGAATATGCTATTTTTCGCGCCTATGCCCTTCCGACGGAGTGGCGGCTTCGGAGGCCAGTGGGTGGGCGGGCTTGGTTGCTGGGTTGGGTTACGCTCGGGTGGGCTGGTGAGTGGTCTGCCTAGATGATGAGTGGATCTGCTACTTATTTTCAAGGAAAATAGTAAGGCCCAAAGAAATATACAAGAGAAAATTAATAAAACATTAAAATTTTATAAAGGGCCGTGCTGCGTGTCGGCCAGCGGATCTTAGAGATTTTTGGAACATGGGTGTTGTCGCGGAAGGGATTTTTGCAACAAAGATGATGTTAGAGATATTTTTTCTTAATATTTTTTTGCAACATGGATGCTATTACGGAAGTAAATTTTGTAACACACATGATGTTGCAGAAAAAGTACAAAAACGGGTACTCAATGACATGAGTCGCACGGAGGAGGTGACGGGCGCTCGTGTGCGGTCCACCGACTGAAACGAAGCGTCTTCACTTTTAGGAAGTGATCCCATGAATAATAATGAAGGGAGTGCCCATTCTTCATATACTGGAATCCTTCATATACTGGAAGAATATATCCAAGCCAATAATCATACATTAATTATTTATCTAACAATCAATATTTTCAAAGTTATGTACAACTTTGGATTGCGGACCATCTGGCAAAGCACACAAGTCCCAATTGTGGCTCTCTATGCAACCATATGTGTTATTTGCATGCATTTCACTTGCCCTTCCGGATTTGTACAAATTAAAGATTGACCCCCTCCCTCCTCCCCTTGGTTTTTGATCCATCCTCGTGGAAGGGTTTCAACAACGTCGAATCGTGGTGGTATGGCTTTATGCAAGGTAGTTGATGTCGCTATAAGGGCATGGCATCGCTTGCAAGGCTAGTGTGTCTTGGGGAAAATGGGAAAAGCTCAATGCGAGGATCATTAATATTAAATACGCTACACCGGCCGTTGTCTTCACAATAATTTGTAGCAAGGCTAATAATTGGGTGAATGCAGGAGCCAAAGACTTGTGTAATAATATGCCGGAAGAGTAGACTTTGTTCTTGCAGGGTGTCCCTCAAACATGTACTTTTATTGAACACTTCCTTTTAATTAAACTAGATGATACCCCGCGCGTTGCTGTGGAAAATTTGTATCACCGCGGACGTGCCAAAGGTTAATTCATAGTAGCAAGTAGTGTAACGTATAAAAAATATGGATCAAAATCATTACCCTATAAACATGAAAAATATGTTAAGGATTTGGTATGGTACAATTGCAAGTAGAAGCTGACCGAAGAGTACTAATGACATTTTTCTTGATTACAAAGGTGATTGCTCTACTAATAAAATAATTCTAAATTTAGGCAACATAATTACTAATTTTATGTAGAATCTATAGTGTGGTTTGTAAGAAGCTGCATGCATTGTTGATGATGTAGCATGTGAGGTCGTCTCATAAGGAAATTCTCAAAGAAATAATAGAGAAGACAACATTTTGTATATGTGAATTGAATATGAAACACTCGGATGAGTTCATAAGAGAGGCCTCTATAAAAAGAGAAAGAAATGCAAAAAAGTAGGATAGATAAATATGAACAAAAATGATTTTCTATTTTCTGCTGTCAAAAGATATAACATGCCTTACCTTTTACCCTCATAATTACATGTGAAGTATAGAATGTAACTACACATGGTAAGAAATTAGATGTGTGAACTAATCTGATAGTCTCAATGTAGATAGATATCATAATCCTTTCAACTGATCCATGCATCTTAAAAATGAAGAACCATATTTTTGGAGCTGTAGGAAATAAGGAACAAACTCATACTCTCCCTACGAATATAAGATGTTTTAGATCACTAATTTAATGATTAAAGATGTCTTATATTTATTTATAGTGGGAGTACATTTTATTGGCACATCAAGAGCAGTAAATGTATAAGACATATTCTTTTCCATGCATTTATCTCACTTGATGCATGACGTCGTCACAGAGATTACAATACTACGTGCTTCATATAATTAGTCAAAATCATGGATTCTAGGGTCAGAAGTTGATGGGCTCGTGGATATGGATTTTTCATGCACAAAGTTCCTTTTGCATCCACGTTGCACACATGCATACAAGCCGCTTCTGCACACATGGGCGTTTCATTTATTTTTTGGAAAAAGGACCAAAATAAATCTGAGGAAATATCATTAATCGGATAGTGGAAAACTCTCAATCACTCCAGAGTTCGATGGTGCATCTAGACAAAACTGAAACCTGCAAGAAGAATTTTTTTGTATCAGCCAATACAGCCAGAACGAAAATAACCCTGACACAGTCAATTAAGAACAGCCGTTATGAATATAATATAGCAAAGAATGGTATGGCAGTCCAAGGATACCTGATATGATTCCCAATATGTAAAGTGATAACATGCTTGTATCCATCCACTCCGGGGTACAATTTTATATGAGATACTCCCTTCGTTTCAAATTACTCGTTGCAGAAATGAATGTATCTAGAACTAAAATACATCTAGATACATCCATACCTGCGACAAGTAATTCGGAACGGAGGGAGTACATCAGAGGGGAGCGGAGAGATACACACGCATGCTTTACACAACAAACTTAGGTGCCTGATCCTATCTTTACGGGAGCTGATGGTATGTTCGGCATGATTGCATGCATGGCCGCTTAACCGAACGGCCCGTGAGATTTGCTCATATGAGAACGTAGAATCGCTTCAGATCGCAAGAACAAAATTATGAACTTTTCCAGGATCGCCAATTGCATAACCTAAATCGCCTTATATTACCTGCCAACCATACGGAGTAATCCATGGAGGGACGCAGGCTGTACGTTGGCTTCTGGGTGAATTCAAGAAAAATGATGATGGACTGGATTAGCTTGAACCAAAGATGACGACGGCGCCGACAACACGATCAACACTTCAGCTTCTATAGGCTTGAACGACCATCTCGAGACTGATGTCGGCAAGACCGCTGTGTTGGCTATGACTCTCGGACGAAGTTTAAGTTGGGCGTGGAGATGGGAGGCAGCCGGAAGAGGAGTAGAGCTATGAAGGGGCTCTTGATTTCCAAGGCTTTATAGATCGAATAGGAGAGGTCCAGGGATCCGCTTACACTAGTAGAAAAAAAGCCTTTTATCCTGATTCTAGAGGACGGGTCATTATAAAGGTCCTCCCCTTTAGTCCCGGTTCTTATATGAACCGGGACTAAAGGCCCTCCACGTGGCTGCTGTCTGGAGGTCTACCTTTAGTCCCAGTTGGTAACAAATCTTTTTTCCGATTTTTTTGATTCAAGCTTATACGAACCGGGACTAAAGGATTTTTTTAATGATTTTTTTGAAATATTATCCTGATTTTAAAATTTCTAATTATTTTAACCTCTAATCTCTAATCACCTCTCATCACTGCTCAATTTAATCTCTAATCACCCCTCATCATTCCAAACCATCTAACTTTTCGGATGGTCACACATCCTCCCACTCCCCCAGCCTGAGCACGCTTAACTTTCGGATTCTATTCTCCCTTGTTTCCAAGTCTGCACTTGTTGTTTTCCTGACAATAGTAAGATGTAAATCCTATTAACCCTCAGGAGTTTAGCTCGAGCATGAAGTCACAAATTTCACTGTTTGAGTTTGAAACTATTGTTCTAAAAAACAATAATTATTTAGTAACACTAATATTTCTTGAATAAGTAGTTTGACCATTGTTTGACCACAATTTGACTAGATTTGACCAAAATTTAAAAAAACTGAAATAATTATTTAGTAACACTAATATTCTTGAATAATTATTTAGTAACACTAATATTCTTGAATAATTATTTAGTAACACTAATATTCTTGAATAATTAGTTTGATCATAGTTTGACTAGATTTAATGAAAATTTTCCTTTTGAAATTTGAGGATTCTAAAAATTTGCAAATAGGCTGTAGGCTATCAAAATAGGATGCGGATTTTCGTGCTGAACATTTGGATATATTATTCGTTTTTTTCTGACATCGTATGCAAAAGTTATAGCTGTTTTATATTTTTCCTACACTTTTTGCAAAACATGTATTTGTTGAAGTTTTTAAATTTTCCTAACCAGTAGATGTAGTAACATAACTACATCTCGAAGGATTTTAACTTTTGAAGTTTTTATCATTTTCTTTTACTTTTTACAAAACAGAAAAGGCGATACAGGGGGTAGGATTTGAAAGTTGCATCATTAGTACCGGTTCGTGGCACAAACCAGTACTAATGGGCATCGCACCCTTTAGTCCTGGTTCGTGGCACTAACCGAGACTAAAGGTCCCATTTGAACCGGGAGTAATGCCTGTACGGTGCCCTAGCCGCTCGAACCGGGACTAATGCTCACATTAGTCCCGATTCGTAATGCAACCGGGATTAATGCTCTTTTCTGGCCGAACCAAAGCCCCTTGTTTTCTACTAGTGTTAGTGGAGTAGCGCCTGTTCGGTTGCCTAGATCCTAACTGGACGGAGGAAGATACACATGTAGGGGAAGAGGAAGGGACGGGACATGATGAGATGTGTAGATCAAAGCAGCGTGTTAGATGCACCTGACCTCTTTGACTACCTCACTTACAATAGAAGATGGAAGAGCAACCGATGAGGGATGGCTGATCATTTGTGCTAAATAGAAGGATCGAGGTGCTGTCAAAAAAAGGATAGAGGGGTGGCTGATCCTTTCTGCTAAATAAAAGTGGTGTCTAAAGAGCAAACGATCGAGGAGTAAATAAAAGCTGCATCTCATGATCAATTAGTTTTTTTTTCTAAGGTGGAATGTGTGGGGCATGTGGGATGACGTGGATACCTTGCATGTCAAGTGTAGCATGAT